TATTCTTATTACTATGTAGGACGGGAGTCCACATTTGTGCACATTAAGAAAAAATAGATTTCCTCGAAAAATTTAAAGCTAATTTTTTTTTATTTATTTTTTTTATAGTCTCCTTATTATACTTTAGACACATGGAATTTACCAAGTCCATCGGATGAAAAAAAATAATTCAGTTCTGAAAGGGTTAAACATCCACAGGAATGAAAGGGGTGGCCTATTCTATGCCGGGACCACATGTCTATTTTTTAATAGAAAGTAATAACAGCAGTTTTCTTGTAATAAAAAAAACATAGCTCAGGACCATTCCGCATGGTAGTCTGTGGGTGAGACCTGTATCTGGCAGTAGACAGATGATGGCTAAGATGGCAAAGAATAAAAAATACAGATCAATTGGTGAAAGAATTCTATTTTACATGAAGTATTTAACTATTTCTTGCTGACAGTTTACTTTTTCACGTGATTTCTTCACACTTATCAAGTAATTACACAGCAATTTTTTCTGCACATAAGTTGTTTAAGATTTCAAGATCAAGAGAAAATCATTCATATTTATCATCGATTTGAATTGTAAAACAGGTTTCTGTTCAAGCCAGATTAGGTAAATTAAATCAATTTAGCCCGTACAGAAATTTGGATCGCGGAGTTATTTAAATGTAATTATTTTTAACAACGTTACTGTGTTTGGATGAAAATCATGAGTCGTAAGATGATAAGAAGTCTTGAGTCTCCCATAATTTTTAATACCAGTGAGGGATGATAAGTTCAAATGAAATGATTCATCAGTTCTGCCATAGTGGTTTCCAGGAAGAGTTACGTGGTAATTGATTTTAAAGAGTTTATGATATGGGTCCGCTAATCCTCATTTCTATGAAGACACAACAATACTCATTACTGTCAACATCAACATAATGCATCAAGCTGTCAAGATAGAATTATTATTATATCAGCCGTTAACTCTCCACTGTCTTCTTCATTGGGGGGGGGGGGGGGGACATCAGTAGGCGAGTTTTGCCACACTTGGCAGGCGGGTTGGCAACCACAGACTTTGGTGATGTTTTAAGAGCAACACTGTTACCTATCCCTCGATCATTAAGTTGAAAAGGAAGGTGTGGCCCATTCTATGCTGAAACCACACGACAAAGTAGAATCGTATCTAATTTTTTACAATTTTCATCCAAGTATCACTCCGTAAAATGTAATGATTTTTATTCATAGTTTAAATTGGAGACAAAAATAGATTCAACATACGATATTTGTGCTGTCCTCCTTGTTTAGAAGATAGGTGTAAGAGATAATAAGCTATAATATTTCACAATGCATACCACTCTCGCAGAAGAGGCAAAATGCTGGGCCACCTTATATGACATGACGATTTTTTTAAGAGCATAATAGAAGGAAAGATAGAGGGCAAAAGAGGAAGAGGAAGACCGAGGATTAACTACATGGGACAGATAAATGAAACACTAGGCGTCATGTCGTATAGGGAGATAAAGGACATGGCCTAGGATAGAGCTGGCTGGAGGAAGATGCATGAATTAGTTGCACCGACAAGAGGAAACTCTTAAATGAAAATGAATGAACCACTCTCGCATGACCACGTCCTGGAGCTAAGGGATGCTAAAAAAATCGATTTTTATTTAAATCGATTGTTATTTTCTTATAATCGAATAATAACCGATTTTTAATAAATCAATTACATAAATTCCTTATGCTTTACCTTAAAAGTTTAAAAATTATTATAAACATTCACATTGTTTTTTAATTTCGAATTGGTTATTTTTTTATTCACATTATTTTATTTTATTTCTAATTTGATAAATTGTTAATATGAATCTCTTAGGTTTATTGTTTTATTGTTGGAATATGAAAAGCACGTAGACTTTTAATAATAAAATAATAAAAAAAGAACATTTTTTCCCAGAAATCGATTATTTAATTTTATTAAAATCCAATTTCGACAAATCGATTAATATTGAATAAAGAAAAATCGATTTTTATATAATCTTTTATATTATTATATAAATAATTTATTCTTTTCCCTCTTCCAACTCCTGGAGCGGAGGGCTTGCAGTCTAAGTTTTGATGAGTACATCACATCTCAGCGTGAGTCCTTTATATTACGATTACTTTATATTACATTTGTTCTATAATACCATATATTCCAGATTATATTCCAGATGTATGTAATCTTCTTAACAATACCGGCTAATACACAAGACCTCTGTAACACCTGTTCACACTATGAACAAGATTATGGCAATAGGCAGTAGTAATTTGTGTATGTGTGCGTGTTGGCCCAAATTACGAGGTCGTGTCCTAGCAATGCCGTATCCACATCTGTTTAAATACACGCCAAAACGATTTGCCGTTGATTATATTATAAACTGTTTATATAAACACTAGCTCATTACCTCGGCTCCGCTTGCGATCCATTATATCTTTTGATTTTTTTAATGCTCTCTTTAAAGAATGCGTAGCCTTATATATAAGAACTATTACATTATATACATGGTACTTTCCCCATAAGAGTAGGATTCTAGACTAGGAAGTCATATCTTTTTTTTCTTCAACACAGGGGGCAAACGAGCATGCGGCTCACCTGATGGTAAGTGACTACCGCCGCCCATGATCACCCACAACACCAACGGCATTGCAGGCGTGCTGCCGGCCATTTAAAAAGGAATATGCTCTTTTCTTGAAGGTTATGTTGTCGTATCGGTTCGGAAATACTGCTGCTGGAAGTTGATTCCAAAGAGTGGTTGTGCGTGGGAGAAAGTGCCTTGAAAAACGCACGGTGGAGGACTGATTTTATTTCAAGTTTTTTCTTTCTTTCTTATCTCACGTGGTTATTTTTTAATGCGTAATCATTCTATCTTCATCAGATGGAATGATAACTCCTCCTGCGCCATCGATATACGCAGACAAGGTACCAAGTAAGAGACACGTGAAAATGTATATAAATCAGCCCATCGTGACGAATTTAACTAGAATTAACCACTATAATTTGCAGAGGAAACCGCGTGGAGATCGACCTGATAAAGTACATTGCTACCGATGCGGCTACTAGACTATTATCCACTGACAACCCCTTTCCCCGCTGTATACCTGTATTAGGTATATGGAATGAAGAAGGATATAGTCCACTTTTTAACCCGATCAGTAAACATAAATATCTCAATCGCGCGGACGAAGTCACGGGCAAAATCTAGTTTATAAATAAATAAATCTCAAACCGCCAATTTCCATTAAGTTCCTCTATTTGTCCCATGTGTCTTACAATAGATTCAACTGGTAGCATTATTGACATCTGGAAACTAACGGGAAGGTCACGGTGATCCCTCCTTCACCCCTGTCCTTTACAACTAGGTCAGCTCGGCCGATTGTACGCGTTCTTATAAAGCATCCCCGCACCAAATCCCTTAGAGACTAACTCGAAATAACCAGATGGAAAGCTCTTTAATGTGCCAACAGGGTAGGATTATCACAGGTGAATTAAACGAAACATTTTTAAAACAAAATTCAAATTGTTACGTCTGTAAACTTTAAGTCTACGTCTAGACAACATCCGAGTCTACGCATAGGTAAATATACACAAGAATAAATATTCATGTAGAACAGATACTCTCGTGGATTCAATAATTTATTTATTTACTAGCTGTTGTCCGCGACTTCGTCCGCGTTTCAGTCGTTTTTCGTAAAATAAATAGACTATGTCCTTCCTCACGGTTCAGTTTTGATGTAACAGCCACCTCACACACTTATTTCCCTTCACTGCTCTGCTCCTATTGATCGTAGCGTGATGAAGAGTATACTATAACCTGCCCAGGAGTATGAAGAATGATTGTACCAAGTTTTGTTAAAATCCGTCGAGTAGTTTTTGTTTCTATAACGAACACACAGACAGACAGACAAAAATTTTACTGATTGCATTTTTGGCATCAGTATCGATCACTAATCACCCCCTGATAGTTATTTTGTAAATATATTTCATGTACAGAATTGACGTCTCTACAGATTTATTATAAGTATAGATTTGATAAATTTACTAAATAATAACAAGGTAGACAATCCCTTTATCAACCGACATCAAAAAAGAAGGGGCTCGATTTGGTTATATTTTTCTTTTTTTTTTTGTTACAATATAATTTAAGATTACATTCCACAAAAAAAAACATTTTCAGTTGTGACAAAACCAGTTATTTCGATTTGAAAACTAAATTACTGAACCGATTTTGATAAAATTTCTATAAGACCACTCGTGTAAGTACATCCTTTCAGGTAAAAGAAGAATTTTCCAATTCGGTTTAAAACTGACAGAGTTATGTGGTAACAAACATAGAAGAAAATACAATCGAATTAAGTAACACTTTCTTTTTAAAGTCTATTGAAAACTATCCTATCTCTCAAGTAGTAGCAAGCAAAAAAAATTTACAAAAATCATTAAAATCGGTCGAGCGGTTTCGGAGATTAGCGTAAATGACATGACCAGGAATAAACCAGAATTTACGGAATTTACCAGAGGGAGACTTTGTACAAAAGTCGATTGTTTGGCTACCTCTGTCCCATTCGTGTTTCAACCGTGAAGCAGTTGTTTGCATAGCTGTGTTTCGGTTTGAAGGGTGGGATATGGCGTGAATTTACAGGGTACAGAAGAATAACACCTAAGTCCTCAGGAATGGCAACGCATGGGGGGTATCATGGGCGAAACAGTACACTCTGTTATGTCCATGGTACTGCTCATGTCTATAGGCGACGGTTACCACTTTCCATCAGGTGGACCGTCAGCTTGTTTGCCATTCTAAGTTGTATAAAAAAAATATATATATTAAAATAATAAAAGTGTGCAGCGAGGGGGGCTTTCCGTCGCCCGTAGTAATGGCACAGGTAGTGACTATGTAGTGAAAACCGCCGAGCTGGGAGAGAATAAAAATATAATTACTAATCAAAACTATAATAAAACTATGTAATTTTATTAATTACGTAATGTATAATGTACTCACCCGCCGCTTTCAGGGGTTTGTTTCAGATCCGGTTGCCATAGCAACCAGTGGCCCCTTAACGACCTGTAACAAAGGAAATAGTGAAATGATTAAATATATGTTTATACAGCTATAGGTCGCCAGTATAGACACCTATACGATTTTTGTGACCGCCGGGGTCAGCAATAATGCTTTATGGAACAAGTAATTCCTTTTACAAAGCTCGATTTCGCGTTCCAAATTCAAATATTTTATAAACCTAAGACCTCAAAAGGGTATCATATCATGGTAACCCCGCCTGCGCTATCGGTATACGCTGAACGGGCACCAGTGAGACATGATAGGTGATAATGAAAAGGCATATCAGTTAGTCCACCGTGATGAATACACCTGGAATTCAGCACGATGCCAGTGATAGATGAGGATGTAAAGGCAGGCCAGTTAGCCCATTGTAACGAATTGAATGATAAATAATTGTTCTACAATTACACGTACGTATCGATATTGACTTACAAATCACAACACATACAATAGAGAACTACTGCACATTATGATTTTATAAACATACATACATACATGAATACATTAAACAAGTTACTTTACTTACATATACGAGGTTTGTCCGGAAAGTACGTATAAAAGTTTTTTAAAAATTTTATTTTACAATTATTCAGGTAAATCAATTTTATCCCCTTCAAAGTACTCCCCCTGTGACATAATGCACTTGTGCCAACGCCGTTTCCACTGTGAGAAGGCTCCTTGAAAGTCCTCTGGTTGTAGGTTTCTCAGCTGCCCCGTCGTAGCTTTTTTTATCTCATTTATGTCCCCCAAATGCCGCCCCCGAAGTACCAATTTGGTTTTTGGGAACAAGAAGAAGTCACACGGGGCCAAATCCGGCGAATAGGGGGGTGTTCGGTCACCGTAATGGAATTTTTACTCAAAAACTCACGGACAACAAGAGAGGTGTGGGCAAGGGCATTGTCGTGGTGAAGAATCCAACGCCCCTCTCGCGCCAATTCTGGACGAAATCGTGCCACACGAGCTTTGAGGCGTCTGAGCACATCGACGTAGAATTTTCCATCAACTGTCTGGCCTGGAGGGACGAATTCTTGATGGACAATCCCCCGAACATCGAAAAAAACAATCAACATTGTCTTGACATTTGAGCGGGATTTTCTTGATTTTTTTGTTCGTGGTTCCCCGGATGTCTTCCACTCTTTGCTTTGGGATTTTAATTCGACATCAAATTCGTAGAACCAAGACTCATCTCCAGTGATGACTCGGTTCAAAAAGTCACCATTCTCTTCGGCTTCCAACCAGTCCTCACAGCAAGCAACTCTTCGTGATTTTTGATCCGGGGACAAAAGCTTGGGAACGATCTTGGCGCAAATTTTTTTCATTTGAAGTTCGTTTCTTAGAATTTCGTGGACCACGGTTTTGCCCAAATTAAGCTCTTCAGCCACCTGTCTGACCGTTAAACGACGGTCCCCATTAACACAAGTTCGAATTCTTTCCACGTTTTCGTCGGAATGTGAAGTGGAAGGACGTCCTGAACGTGGGTCATCTTGAACGCTTTCTCGGCCCTCTCTGAATCTTTTTAGCCACTTGTGGACGGTTGGTTCCTTCACAGCATCATCCCCATAAACTGTTCTGAGATCGGCAAAAATTTCACGGCCATTCTTGCCGAGTTTCGAGAGAAACTTGATTACGACGCGCTGCTCTTCAACGGAAGCGGGCTCCATGCCGACGGGGTTTCGTTAAGAGGTAACTTCACAGATGGCGTGACAAGCCAGTTCGCACCGCACGGCGGTCAGACCAGAACTGAAGCATTGTTAGGGACATAAGGAAGGGGTCCTGCGCTTACCTGGCCTCCCCACTCCTCTTTCTCGCATTCCAGAACACTTTTATACGAACTTTCCGGACAGACCTCGTACAAATATATATCATAAAATATACTTATAAATTGTATACTATAATATTTATATAATATTTTATCTCTAATCTAAAAATTTATCTTGACACACCATTTAAAAGCAAGCTTTTTTATACTAAAATAGTAGTAAACAAGCATAGGGCTAGTCTGATGGTAAAAAGGTAGTCAAGTAATAAAACAAGAACAAAGATTGTGTATTGAACGCTCCAAAGTGCAGTGCGTGCCGATTGTAGATCCCAAGGTTTTTGTACCATCCAGTTTTTGCATGGAGTCATTGAACTGAGTATCTTGTCTATTAAGCGATTAGATCGCTTATAAAAAGTCAGTTAAAGTCGATTTTCGATTGTTAATAACAGCCGAGATATGAAGTTGTTACCTCCGTGAGAAGTTCAAAGTACAACGATGCGTTTCCGCAGAATTGTGTTCAGATGTGTTTTGTTGTTTTGTTGTATTTTTGTACAAACATTGTAATATTTATTATTATAGTCCCATTTAATAATAATATTAATTTATTCAAGAAAAATATACAGATGCAATTATAATTACATATTTATTCACAGTAAGTAACTCCGGCCTCCATGCTAGGAAAATCATGTGTTATAAAGGTCAGAACTAAAGCCTAGCCTCTCTAGCCTAATTGCGGTTATCAAACCGCCTGTCAAACATGGCAACTATTGCCAAAACCCCCCAAGAGGTTCAGCAGTGGACAGTTAAGATCCGATATGACGATAATGACGATGATATTATATCGAAAAAATAGTTTCAAATTTAAAAAATCGACATAGGAGAATTTTTTATCGAATTACTTAACAACACTGAATACATATATATTTTGTTTAAAAAAAAAATTGTCAGCTAAACGTCGAATTAGCTGACTAAATTTTGAAACGTTTTTTAAACTCAATACTCTATCTATACAATCTAAAACTTGCAGTTAATCCATATTACTGTCACATACCCAAACTAATGCTAAATTTTAAAGAGCTGACAAGAGAACAAGAGAAAGTATTGTACTTATTATAGCTTATTCGTGAACTACTCGAATGTTTGACAGTTTTGTAGGCAGTAGAAAGTTTTTATGGGCATTCGCGTAACATTTTAAATATATACATTGTTCGTATAATAATAATGTGATTACAATCCGCTCACGTGCTCCCAATACTTGTAATGGCCGCGTCTTGTAACCTCCGCTTCTGTTATACTGTGACGCAACCTGCATAATGTAAATTGAATACAATAATTGAGATTGTTTTCGACAAAAAAAAACCTACTTCTACATTATTTTATTTGCAAAACCAGTTATTTAGATTTAAAAATTAAATTACTAAATCGATTTTGATTAAATTTCATGGATCCAATCTGTAAGTAGATAAATAGAGTATCTAACTCTTTATTGTTTCCTCCAAAAGATTACAGTAGTAAACTTATTATGAATGTAAACAATTACAAGTAATAATCACAATGAGAAAACAATGTGCGACTTTATCGCTAAAAGCGATTTCTTCCAGGCAACCTTGCGAAAATTGCGAACTTGATTCTTTTTTGAATTCAGTCAGTACCATACATAATCACATCACAATATTAGGAAAAAATAATTTAAGTGGGTCGAACCGTATGAGGTTTTAGAATCATACAAAACGTCGTGACATGCTCGTCGCTGTTGTTAAACTCACGAACATACACACACATATACACACACACATATGCATACACACACACACACACATAAACATACACATACACACACACACACACATACAGACTAAAATTACATATACGTGCTTTATCAAGATAAACCCTAATATAACATAATGACCAGAGACACATATTTGAGTAGTTCAGTGCATGACTATTTTATAAGTCACTGGTTTTTATTCACGACTGTTTTTTTTTTACTAGTTTTCCACCGACTTTAAAGTGGGGAAGGGATTTTTTTAATAATGCTGTCTAACAGTCCCATTGCTAGCAATGTCATATTCAATATATCAGGTCAACTTCCATGCAATTCCGCCTGGAAACTATCGTGGTTAAGCCTTGTAGAGTTCACCACTAGGGATTGGGGGGAAAGGGATTGTTAGTAATGGAGACTAATAATCCCATTGCTAGCAATATAGCTAGGTCGACCTCTTCGCGTTTCTTCCTGGAAACTATCATAGTTAATTCCTGATGAATTCATCATGATGGGCTAACTGGCCTGTTTTCATTCTCATCTATCACCCTTCACTGGTGCTCCGCCAGCGTATCCCGTTAGCGCAGGCGGGGTTACCATTCCATTTTCACCCATAAAAACCCAAACCCATTGTTATCAATGTACCCTATCAGGTCGAATTCCATGCAATTCCGCCTGGAAACTATCGTGGTTAAACCTTGTAGAGTTCACCATCAGAGATTAACTGACCTGTTTTAATTCTCATTGCTCACTGGTGGCCCGCCAGCATATACCAAGAGCGCAGGTGGGGTTACCATTCCATTTTCACCCATTAAAAAAAGACCTGCTTTTTTATACTACTTAAAATGGCAAACAAGCTGACGGCCCACCTAATGTAAAGTGGTAACCGTCGCCTATAGAAATGATCAGTACTATGGACATAACAGAGTATACTGTTTCGCCCATGATACCCCCCATGCGTTGCCATTCTTGAGGATTCAGGTTTTATTCCTCTGTGCCCAGAAAATTTACGACATATCCCACCCTTCAAACCGAAACACAGCCATGCAAACATAACTGCTTCACGGTAGAAACACGAATGGGATCTTTTAGTATTGATTTTTTTTCTTTGAGCTTTTATTCTAATCTATGATTGGTGTCCCGCCAGCATATACTGATAGCGCAGGCGGAATTACCATTCAATTTTCATCCATTAAAAAACAGTATACGCGTCTAACTTGGAGTCATTTTGCACAGTCGATTTTGTCCGAGCAACGCTAAAGGCCTTACAATTCAACAATGGCATTGCACCGCGATACATAATGTGATACGTATGTTTTTTCGTAATTGCGAGCAAGCTTTGTTTGGTGAGAATCAGCACAATGTTACACGCCATTGAGTATGACGGGTCATGTTTTGTTGCGTCGGAGCGACGTTTGAATTGAGCAGTATTTTTAAATGGGTGATAATGTAATGGTAATCTTGCCTGTGCTATCGGTATAC